AAATTTATGTGCCCGCGTTGACGGGGGATATACGGGAGTTAACACCTTAGGAAAGTGGATGGTTCATTTTCCCCGTAAACGTCCCCCGGATAGTTTTCAGGATGCGTTGCTATGGACGCCAAGCGGTTCGTTATCGTTATCATGGTTTTCATTTGTAGAATGTCATTTCCACCATCGAGGGCGGTTAATTCGATTTCAACTCGGGCAATTGGCTAACCGGTGCAGAAGACACCAGGGAGTGAGACGAGTCGGCGGATGCGTTCTGGCCGGCGTTTTCTCTCGGTTATTGTTCCGGGCCTCTTACCATAACCAACGGCCAGGGGGTTTTTCAGCGGTAGGCAATTCCAGAGGAGAGCAATCTTCTGGAGCTACAAACAAACAGGCTTAGTACCGACTTAACGTTATCCGCCATGCGTACAATATGGCGCGCTTAATTGTCGTTACGGGCCTCTTATTGCCGGTGCGCTGTTATTATCACTATTATCAATAATTATGGCGGCTCGTGCACATAGGCCCTCCTCTTTCCTCGACGTAACCTCCGCGCAACTTACGGCAACCGTTTACGGGATTAATGTCTGTATTCGTTTTGCGACTCGCCGACGGTGGCGCCGCCACTTTCCCGGTTCCCAACCCGCGGAAGAGTTTCCCGGGAAAGAGGCTTTCTACCCCTACCCAGAAGACACCTGACGTTAAGTCGTCTTCGTGACTGTCGAGGTCACCTCGAAAAACTCCCTTTGAGGCCTTTAAGGCCCGATGAAACTTCCAGGCCGTGAAATAAGGTGAGGCGAACTCGTCCGCGACTGATTTACGAACTCGGTATGCCGTGCCAGCTTGTGTATGTGCGTACTTACTCTCTTTTCTGTCCGGGTAGCGAGACCTACGCAAGATTTATGGGTTGCTCCGCGAGAGACTTCGTTAATCACGGTTTCGTTTCGCCGGGTTTCCGAATGCGAGGACTCTCTCGCCTCTTTCCGATCCCTTTGCCGTATTTTAACGCTCGAGGAGACGCCTAAACGGTCCCGCTCGGTCGCGGCGTACCAAGTAGAGTTTTGCCAGAGTGGATTGGAAAAAGCGGACAAAATATGGGATCGAGAGGGCAACGGTGCCCATTGGAAGGAACCATCGACGATTCCCGGGAGTTTGTACCTACCCCGAACAGGATTTGCGGATTTACGAGTTATGGGAAGTGTACTTTTCGATTCGACGGTCGGCTGGCTAAATCCAAGATGGCGGCGGAGGTCGAGGAGAATTTACAAGTGGCCTGATCTGTAATCATAGAATCGCCGATCTACTCGGAAAAAGGGTTGGCGGGGGCAAGTCGAGTCTTTCGAGGGAAACTACCGGCGTCGATCGAGCATATCCTCCATCTTTCTAGGGAATTTTCGTCCTGGTCGATTTTTAACCGGCCGGGTAGGCTGCATAAGCAGCTGCTCTACTTGTGCCCTTTTTTCCCGAGGCCCGGATCGATTTACAGCTCCCGATGGAAGAAACGCCGACCGGAGGTGTTCTTCTAACGTCGGATTTTATTTTCCTCCGGGGAATCCGTCGAATCGACGCCGATTAGTCCCGGTCGAAAATCGATCGCCGATGGCCGACCGATCGCATAGTCTTTTCCGGGTAGTCTCGGCCGGCGAATTGATCTCGGGGCGTTTGTCCGACCAGCCCTGCTTTCATCAGTTCCAGGTGATTAAGGAACAACATTAGGGCGACGTTCTAACGACCTGGATGGCCAAAATGGCGGCGAGATTAAGATCCGTGCGCGGGCCGAGCGTCGCGATTCACCAGCTGATGGCCAACGGACACCGGAGGTCCTTAGAGGGCCGAAGTTAGGGTGAATCTTCACTTTCGGTCTCGTGGGTACCAGGTTTAGGGTAATTATTAGTCCATCAGAGAGCCGCCTCCGATTGCCACATGGCAAAAGGCAAAAGACGAGACCCGGCTGGTCCATCTTGGCCGGCCCTGGGCCGCCCTGTCATTATCCGCCCCCGAAGGCCCATTTCCCTTTCAACCCCGGCGACCGCGTCTGCCAATCAACGATCCGTCATTGGAAGTCGATCGGACGATCGGCGGTCCACGGGAGTCGATAATTGTAGATCCCGCCACGGCGCTACCAAAGGACCATGAATCGTCGGAAATACTCGAAAGACTCGATTCGTCCATTACGGGGGCCCTCCACCTCGGAAAGGTGAAGTGCATTGACCGCTCATGCTTGCGCAAGATGGTCACGCTCCGTGATTTTACCATGAATTATTTATTATTTGCTTCTGTTTTATTACTTATCTCACGGGGAGTAATAAATCGCCATGCACCGGTGCGTGGAAAAAAAGGAAATCATCCGAGCCGGTATCGGGAGATGAAACACCCTGGAGAACTGGATCCTTTTCGGCAACAATGGGTTTAGGTCCCGCCCAATGATGGGTTTGTGGAGTCGACAATAGTTTTCTTTTTTTTTTATTTATCGACGCGTGTTTTATCGGATTTTTCCCTCTTACCTACACCCCCTGCCATCACGTGGAGTCATGATCTTGCACGTAATGCCGACCTGCCCGTTAATAGCCACGTTGCTTCGGGGTCATTGTAAAACGTCCCTTTTCTCGCCAACACGACGCCCACCCACCCATCCACCCTCCATCACCAACCTTCTCTCCTTCTATCCTCCACCTCGCCGTGTTTCTCGCATCCTATCCTGGGGGCGGGTCGCACCTTTTGTGGAGGGATGGCACGCGATGTCCACATCATCACCCTCCGCCGGGTAGTGATCTAACTCGCGGCTTTTTTTCCCCTCGGATTAATCTTTAACACCATAAATCGACGCGGGAATGGAAAACGTCGACTGGGGAAGAAAAAAGGAAAAAAAGAAACCCCGGTCGCTACTCTTGTTCCATTAGCGCTTGGCATGTTCACGGATGTATAGAGAAACTCGGTAGAGCTTCGAGCCAAATACATTTGATCGTGTATACAGGGAAATGGCGTGGAGGCGTTTTCATATCGATTTTTCTAACCTTTGTATTTTTAATTAACGAAGAGTAGAGCTTTACATCGCTCTTCAACTCCGCTTCAATACCATGATAAAAGTGGCCATGTAAATTTACATACTGAATTATTAGTTATTTTGACGTTAGGAAGTTGCAAATTATATCCTAACATATGCTATACACGTACATTTTATAATTTGTCATTTTTCCACTTCACGTTTTTCTATGTGGAACTTATGTCATAACCTGGCTAAAAATCTATGCAAATTTCCAGGGATTTTTCTCCTGGATATTTTTGCGGTAATTACAGATTACGGTTGTGGACACACGATGAAATTACGCGAACGCGTTATTTAATAAATATAGGCATTGGTTATATGTGACGGCATTGCGAAACTGTTGTATAACCAGTGGTATGATATTCTGTCCTAATAGAAGGAAATTATTTGATAATGAACTTTAACGCATTTATTTGACCGTGGATATGGTCTTTATAATGTTTTGTTAGGTTGTTTAGTTAGTTGATATCCACCATTGTGGTTATTAAGGGCGTTGATAAAGATTCCATTGTTGCGCGAATTTGTCGCGGCGGTTTGCATCGTGTCTTGAGTTTCATTTTCAATTAAGGGAAATCATGGGAATCATCGGTGTCGATTTTTAAGAGGTAATCGATGAAGCTTGGTCATGAGTGGTCCGCGATTAGGCGGGATCGCCGCAGTGGCGCCACGAGTCTCCTTTCGTTCCTCTTTGAATTAGACCTTAATGCGATCAGAGGTCCAGGTTCACGGTTTGCCTGCCATTAGCGTAGGTATTTCGAAGACCGGCAACACATTAGATCCGAGGTGTGATTTTCCAAAGATCCTGCTGGTCGGTGAACTTTTCGGGAGCCCGCCTCGCAGCCTCGTACGCCACTGAGAAGAAGAAAACGTAATTGGCTCCTTTCCTGTAGCCCTGTCGGGTCCCGTTTTATAAGGCCACGTCAATAAGATTTGAAATTCAAACTGGCCGATTAAAATCACATTAGGAGCTCACGAGGTCCTGCTAATTATTCAGACCGTCGGCTTACTTAACTTACGTCGACCGTATTGAGATATTCGGTCCTTGATGGATAAACTGGCTAAGATCTATCTAGATCGCGAACATCCATTGCGATCTGGACGTGGTTGGCAATTTATCCCGCACTTTCCGCTGGCGGGTATTCACACGCAACTTTCGCACGCAACTTTCCCGTCCCAGTATAATCGTCGCAATTATCATTCGAATTCACCGTAAGAAAAATGTCAGGTTATTTTCTGAGATGTTTGCTCCCATTCTGGACCCACTCCTTGAATCTCGGTGAAGGTAGCAGCGCCCCAAAGCCCTAGAAAAGTGGTTAAAAATTGAATCCTCCCTTCCGCCATGAAAGTAACAGTTTGACATAAAAATAATTTCCAAGAGGTTCGGAAGATCAGAAGTCGTCGCGCGTAGAGTCCGCACATTCTCCAATAATTCCCGTGACCCCGTAGCACTCCGCGCGCCGTCACTCGTCATGGTCGATTCTCCTTATCCCTGTCTAATCGGCGGCAATTATCATGAATTCGCCATAAGTAAAAATCCCGGAGGTCCGTCCCCTCCGCCGGCACTCCCGGGGGTTCTCGGAAAGCCACGGAGAGTGCCAGGAGCATGCGCTCGATAGAGGTACCTCGGCGTCCCGTTAGGCTTGCACGCGCGTCCGCTTGGCTGTAGATCCGCGAGATGGCGCCAGGTCCGCGGCGGTCGGGAGCGGTGGCGCGCCGCGCGGGGGAAACTCGGAAGCGTCGTCCGCCCCAGGAGAAGGGGCGTATCCATAGGCGGAGAACGAGCCAGAGCAGAGCCCGCCTCTGCGTCGGCCCCTTTTCCCCTTTGACGGGATCCTAACCTACCGCCTTCCGAACCAGTTTCCACCTCCAGTCGGCCACCTCCGGGGGCGGCATGCCCCGTTCCCGGTCCCCGCCGCACGTCCGGCCGAACCGGACCGGTCGGACGGCAGTCTGTCACGGCGCGAAGAGCGGGAACCACGCCAACCGGTTCCGACCACGCCGTTCGGTTTTTTCGCTCCGTCGGTAAGGGTCAAGCGAGACACACCCCGGACTGGCACCGATCCTCCACCGACCGCGAGACCCTCGTGAATGTTCATCGCGATCTCTGGGACTATCGAGCCCACGCTGCGCGACCGTCGCCGGTCCACGGCCTCCACGCCCGCGACCGGGAGTCGAAGACGAACCGCGAGACTCCGCCCGAGGTCCGGGGCATGCTCACCGACATGACTCCGGCTGCGGCCGGCCAACTCTACCCGCAACTCCAGTCCATCAGCAAGTCCCCCGTTCACGGGCACGTGGTGAGTGGACACGAGCTGCTCCTCGATCTTTGGGTTCCGCGGAACTGGGGTCTCCACCAGGGAACCGGGGACTTTGTGCAGGGGCCTCCAGGTAGGGTGGGATCTGCGCCAGGGTGGTCACTGGGTTTGGGACCTTGCGGATAGGTCAAGACGGCGGGCCAGGACTGCGGATCTTGTCCTAGGGCTAAGAGTTAGGGAACCAGACTTTGAGATCGAAAGCTCCTAGTTAAACCAGGTTTTGCACAATCGGGACCTTCCACTATGTGGCACTCTCTTAATACGCGAGACTTTGACGTTGCGGGGTGACGGGGTGTTAGGGCGTCGTGTTTGGCTATGACTGCCCCGTCGGGTTTTTAAGTAAAGTACCTCGACTTTAGCTGCGAACCGTGTGGACCTGGGATATCGTGTTAGGGCATTGTGTTAAGTCGGGATTTTTCCCCACTGGGTCTTTTAGCAAGCTCGAGACTTCGACGTTGGGGGTGGACGTTGTGGACGTGAGCCGTTGTGTCAGGGCACCGAGCTAGAGCACGATTTTCCACGATTGGGACTTTTAATGATGTGGGGGTCTCTTTTGACATTTGGCGATACCTGAGTCTGAGATCACGGTGCTAGGGTTCTCCAGGTAGACCTGGACTTTCCCTAGGTTTGAGACTTTTCGGATACAAAGGTGAAACCTCGTGTAGGTCGCTTCGCTGGGTGCTCGAAACACCCACGACCGATGTTAGGACCCCTCGAGCCCTCCTCACGGAGGCGACATAACGTGTGGACTGATAGATGTACTCTTCTTTTTAGTTGTTCAATGACGGATTGGAGTTGGGATTGTTCAATGACGGATCCGCCGTGGGTTTTGGAGTCCCCCGAGACGTGAGTTTGGAACGTCGAGTAGATAGGCTGCTAGGTAGCAGGAGAATCGGACCGGGGTTTGGGTCCATCGAGGGCCCGGTGCACGGACATGTGGTGAGTGGACCCACGACACGTTCTCTTCTTTTTAGTCTCCCTGTGAAGTGGCCGCAGAGGATACCGTTTCGATAACAGACTGGTCGGGGAGCCTCTCGATGACGAATTAGTTGTTGGTTTTCGAGTCTTCTAAGGAACGGGACCGAAGATTAAACGGTCAACCTAGACATAGGGACGCAAAGTCTGGTCCATTCGCTGCCACCCTCTTTCCTGGCTACCATCAGGGACGGATCGAAAGGCGCTATTGGATCGACAAGTATCTTCCTCGGTGCTGATCCTCCTCGGCAAAAAGAGGTCCAAACGTGTCTACCGTCGGTAAACCGAGGTATCTTGACTGCCAGTCTCTGAACGGAGTCCGGATTAAACAAAGGAACCAGGTTCCTTAGAGCTGGTACCGTGGTCCAGCATCGATTAGAGGTGGTACCAACCAAATTGCCTGAATATTAAATGCGGTCACTCGGGCAGGTGGCGGATGTCGCTTATTGGGAACCGCGAGTGTCGGACAGGTAAGAGGATTCGGATGATCCAGGATCAGAATCCTGTGCCGTCGGCAAGGTCCTTATCGGCAGGATGTCGCTCGAATTTCCCCACGTACCGGAGCTTGGGCTGGTCTCGGCTACTTTGGTGCAGCGGACTCCGCCCGATCCGAACCTGCCTCGGGGCAGATAGTCATCTTAATCCTGACAGAAGAGTCAGAAGTCCCCGTCGTCGAGATCAGGTGCTACCGGACGTCCCTAGTGGCCCGATCCCGAAGAGGCTTAGGATAAGATCGGCGGTGATCCTTGTCTCTAGGAGCAAATTAGGACCCACTTCGGATAATCCTCTCTTGTAATTGCTGGAGAGCTCTTCCTCTATCTTGCCGACTTCCCGACTACAGATCTGATTGAAACCGATGGAACGTAGATATGGAAATCCACCGATAGCGAGATAACGCAGGGCCGAGGGTTGGTGATAGAACAGCTGTGAGGTGTCCTGCAAGAATTAGGAAGGACCTCTAGTTTCGACATTCTTTTTAACCTGGCCAATTTGGGGGCCCAGGAAGGTTATCAAACCATTCCAGGGATCTTGCCCTAAGTCCAGATATTCCTCTTAATAAATCTGACATCTCTCACTTTTTCACCCTTTCGAATAGTCCTCTCCTGTAATTACTGGAGAACTCATCTGAAGAGATTGATGCAAGGATGCGATCGAAACCCATGGAGGATAGATATGCAAATCCCTGGTGGCGAAATAACCCAGGGTCAGGACTTGGTGACAAAAGAGCTGCGCGGTGGTCTTCGGAAAAATTGAGGAAAATCTCAAGTCTCGACCGTTTTCGCCTACTTGGTGGTCCAGGAAGGATAATAGGACCATTCCATCCACCTTGCCCTAATCCCTGAAATCCCGTCCATGGAAGCGACGCTTCCGCTTCCTGAAGCGGTCTTCGCTGACATTTCTTCTCTTTTCATGGGACGTTTCTTCTCCCCCTCTTATCGGCTCCCTTAGGGGGATTATCCGGGATGATCCGCGGGTGTTTTGACAGAAGAGGAGGACCCGGCCAGCTTTCTGGAGCAAATTCTCCGAGGCTGGCCATGGTCTTGGTGTAAGGCGCGTTCTTTCGGCCTCGCTTTACGACTCGTCGGGAGGACGAACGCCAACCGTGGGCCGGAATGATTTACGAGTCGCGGGTTAAAAAAAAAGTAATTAAATCGGTGCCATCAAAAGGAAGCTGAGAAGTATTAATGAAGTGCCCGGGGAAAGCTCGCGGCCCTTTCGCGGGTCTGCGTGCCCAAATGCAATCCCTGCAGGGAGGTTTTTCTCCTTTCGCTTAATTGACGCACGTAAGGCGCCCTTCCTGGTGGATTCGAAATTACGACAGGGCGCTTCTTCCTTTCGCCGTCTGCTTGAATCCCATTAATTCCAACAAGGTACTCCTCGCCCGGGAATAACCAATTTGACCAAGACTTGCGTGCCAGGCCCCGATAGAGGAGCGCGAAGTCCAGTACTAGGGAATTATGCATCTGGGATGTAGACGTTTAACCCGTCCTGGGGTTCCATTGTTTTCGCGCTAACCACGAATTAATTTTTCCATGATTTCGAATTTTTAAATAAAGACATACACGGAGGAATCGCGAAAAGCTCACAAAGAGAAATTACCAGATTCATTTAACTTATAATGAGAAATTGTGTAATTTTTTCCTAATGTCACTATACCATAAAATACAAATATCCCTTTTTAAGTATTAAGTCGCTCTATTAGTTGTTTCCTTTTGATGGGGATTACGTCTCGTCCTTTCTATCAACCCAGGAATATCCTGGCGCAAAATCTACAAGACATTATCCCAATCGCTGGTATCCTTTATATTAAAATTCGCGAGTTCTTACATTTCCTCTTTTCTCGTTCATGAGAAATTTCTAGTGAAAGTGGAGTACGTGGCACTCTCTTTATGTCGCTTGGAGACGATCCTGAAATACCGAAGGATCGCGTGTCAGAGTTTGCTCGTCCTTTGCCGATGGTGAACCCGAGCCGAGGTGTATCGAGTGTCCTTCGGGACAATGCTCCTTGTGCAAGGTTCCTAGGGATCAAGGAGACTACCTGTGCTCCCGGGAGCCAATTATTTATCCCAGGCTTCTTTGTATCCCTCGGGATCCACTTGACAGGATGCAGGAGGATGCACCGGGATGTCCACTTCCTCCCGTCACCTGATCGGCCCAATAGCAGGTCCCCAAGTAACTCGAAAAAAATCGCCCATCTCGAAGACACCTGCAAGGACCCATATCCTGGGAAAGTATCCCCTTGTTCTTTCTCTCTTCTCTTATTTCGCGAAGAGTTGAACCTGCCCAGCAAATGTATTCCGTAACGTGCAACCAATCGTCTCTTACGGTCTCTTTACCGAGGATCGATCCCATCAATAAGCAACGAGTGCAGAGAGGGAGAGAGAAGGATAAGTTGACAGAAAGGAAGGGAGATGGAAGAGAAAGGAGAGGGGCAGTTAGGGAATGATATCACGGAATACCGATACCCATCATACTTTCATGATTCAAGCTCTAGTTCACCCGGATCATTATGGCTTCCTCCATGGAAGTTATTCATGGTAGATGAATACTTTAAGACGGGATTGCACGGTGTTTACGTCCCCATTGGGACGGATCTGTGCTTTCAGAAAATATCCCGAGAGGGAAAGGACGAAGATATAGTCATTAGGTCGATAGATTTCCTCTGTGACGCCATATCGGCAACCGGAAGGATAACCAAGGAGGTTGCCATTTCCTTTGCGCAAGGATTTCCGAAAAATTTCCGCCATGGTCGCTTCGTTTCCACCCTCGGCTTAGCCGGTAATCCGATTGGGGAGCAGAAACGTCGGGAAGAATCCGGGTGACACTTTCGAGTGCAACAATGGACTGCGAACGGACACGGGGAGGTATTTGTCGCGGTCCCGAGGTCCTCGTCACGGTGAATAGGACCTCGTGTCCCTTTTTGGGACCCTTGAGAGCGGATTTGCCCGAGAATGCGTCTCATGGTGCGCAGAATGTCATCCCAATTTGTCCCCGAAAAGTGGTGCTTTCCTGCGCGACCGCAGCCATTCGGGAAACACGTAATTCTTCGTTGTCCTCGGATGTCGCCGCTGAAAGAACGGAACCCTAACCTAACCTAACTTCGCTGAGAATGCCCTCGAAATTTGGCGCGACGTCCTAACTCCGAAATTCAAGATTCCCATCTCTGGGATCCGATTCTTGAGTTCGTATATCAACTTTTGCATGGGAAATCGACAATGTTCGTATGACTTTTAAACGTTGAATAATGATGGGACTTCGCAATAATAGGAAATCTTTCATGTTAATCTATTAATATCGGAAATAAATCCTGAATTCGAGATTAAGAGCCCTGGTCCGTCCAGCGAGGATGCTGCAATTCGGAATGGCCCTTGAAAGTCAGGGCTAAAGTCTGGAAAAAATTCGAGTCTTCTTGACAACCAGCTTTTTTTTTATGACGATCGGCCCCATATTTTGGATATTTTGGGATACTTTGGCCGTTGAAGTGGAATTTTCATCCCCGAGTCGGA